CACGCAGTGAAAAATTCAGAACAGAAAATGTTCTATTTATCAATGGTTATCTTTTATCATATCTAACCCTTTATTACTATAAGTATTGTATCTCTTACTAAATACTTCACATTTTACTTATGATCTAGTAGGAGCTTAAAGAAAATTTTAAAATATTTTTAAATTAAAATGTCTTAAGAATTGTACATATTTTTTAGAATGATGACTTATATCACTTTGAATACAGTTCAGTAAGGGAATTTGGAGTAGAAGAAAGAATTAAAAAGAAGTTAAAGTTCAAGAATTAAGGGGAGGAGCATATTGGAATACAAAATGGAAAAAAAATCCAGCCATTATCAGTTGAATTTCTAAAACATGGCTTTCCTGCTTTTCTAAAAATATAATATTTCCAAAATTTTCAAATCATCTTTTAATTAATCATTCAGAAGTTCTTGTGCACCAACAATATGTTCAGTGCTAAGCCAAAAGATGGTAAAACTCAGATAATAAGAGACAATGTACACCAGTACAATTAGTATGGAAATCAATACAGAGATTTCTCAAAAGACTAAAATCAGAAATTCCATTTGACTCAGGTATCCCCTTTCTACGTGTTTTCCTGAAAAAGTTAAAGACATCATAGTACAGTGATACATGAATACTCATGTTATAGCAGGGGTGGGGAGAAGCACCAGCAGGAGCAAAAGAGGCAGCAGCAGTATTTCAGTTGTATTATGCAGTCTTAGGAGGGAAAGAAAAGAGTATGAAGAAAAACCGAGTAAATGAAATGTGGGAAACTATATACATATCAAAAAAGAAAAATGTAAGTTCCAAAGAGATGGAAATAAGAACAGCTGAAACTCCCCAAACTTGATGAAAGAACCACATATCAAGAAGCTCAAAGTCTCTAAATATGATAAAGTCAGAGATCCACTCTAAGACACATTATAATCAAACTGTGAAAAGCCAAAGACAAGAGTCCAGAAAGAAGCAAGAGAAAAGTAATACATGGGATCACAAGGGATCTGCAGTTGGTTTCTCATCAAAAAACATATGGGAGTAGGCTACTTCTAAAGTGCTGAAGGGGAGGGGGTGTAGCATAACTACTAACCAGGAATTGCATATAAAACAAAAACCATCATTCAAAAAGGTGGGAAAAATTAAAATTCCTAAATAAAAACAAGTCTAGCTTTCACCAGGAGACCTGCTCAGAAGAAATGCAAGATTCAAATGAAAGGACAATAGACAGTGATTTGAACCTGAAGAAAAAAACAACAGACAAACTACAAGCCAGTTACACTGCAGTGCACCTGCAATCCTAGCTACGCAGAAGGCTGAGGCAAAAGAATCTTGAGTTTGACGCTAGCCAACTAGGCAAATTATAGAGACTTTAATTCAAAAAACAAAAACAACCCCAAAAGACTAAAAACATAAGTGCATATAGTATTGGTTTGTAACTTGTGTTTATTTCATTTTTGTTAGTTGTAATCACCAGGGTAGTCACTAAGAAAATAAAGAACTTAGAGCTGCCTATGATATTTACAGTAGCTTTACTCATAACTGCAAAAACCTGGAAGCAAGTCCTTCAGCACATGTCCTTCAGTAGGTGAGTGGATAAGTGGTACATTCAGATGAAGGAATATTATTCCATGCTGAAAAGACATGAGCTTCAGGCCACGTAAGGCAAGCAAATTTACTGAAATGACTGCGTACTGTATGATTCCAAGTGTATTTTGGAAAAAGCAAAAGTACAGAAACAGAGGTTCCCAAGGCTTGAAAGGTTGGGGGAATGGAGGAAGAATAGGGAGAATTCAGAGGACTTTTACATCAGTGAAACTATAATGGTGGTTCTATGTCACTGTTCAGCAAAACCTATAAAACATATAATACCGAGTGAATATTAAGGTAAACTGTGGAACTTGAATGATAACTATGTAAAAATTCAGCACTTATAAAAAAATTTATCAATCTGGTGCAAGACAATGATGGTGAGAGGGAGGCACTGCATATGTGGAAACAGGGTTCATGAAGAATCTTTACACTTTGTTTTTTCTTCCCCTATGAACCTAAAACAGAAACCAAAGGATAAAAAAAGGACTACAAAAATTCAAACAGACACAAAAGATAGAATCATAAGAATTTGGAGGAGGGATAACATTTATTTATAGAATACAGCAAAATAGCAGAAACTTTTTTTGTTCAAAAGAATTTTGCTGCGTTTTGTCCTGGGTTTGGGTAAAGGAGACTCTAAACTATCAGAATTGTCGCCAGTGATAGTAGTGGTCTGTATTATTCATAGTTGGACCCCCAGACCATACTCAAGCTTATCCTAAAAAAGTGACTCATGGCAGAAACCCAGTTCCAGGACGGGGATGGTCACATTAGAAAGACTAATCACATCATTAGGGAGTTAAGGTTTTAAGGCTCATATATCACCCTGACCTCCTGACTTCCAGAGTAGGACAAGAAAGTGAGATTAGATTCATTGCATGGCAATGACTCATTCAATCACATTTATATAATAATGAAGTCCCAGCAAAAACTTAGGACACCTGGGCCAGGGATTTAGCTCAGTGGTTCCACTACCTGCCTCGAAAGTGCAAGGTCCAGAGTTTGATCCCCAGGACCAAACCAAACCAAACCAAACAAAAAACCACCAAAGCAAAAGTGACAACAACAAAAACTTTAGGACATCTGAAGTGTAAGTGAATGTCCTAGTTGATAAGACATTGGAGTGGTGGGAGGGTGATGAAACCTAAGGACACAAAAGCTTTATGTTTAAGACACTTCTACGGGTTGCCCTATGTGTTTTTTTCTTTTTGACTGGTTCTACTTTGTATCCTTTGTAAGGTGATTACTATATTAAGTATAGTGCTTTCCTAAGTTCTGAGTTGTTCCAGTGAAGTAACAGTAGACATTTTGAAATTTAAAACCAGTTGGTCATAAGTGCTGTTGACCAGGGAACTTCAAGCCTGTAACTTCTATCTGAAGTCACGACAATCTTTTAAGGGACTGTTCCATAAGTCAGGAAAATTTAACCAGTAGTTAGCATCAAAATTTATTGAATCTTATCAGTATTTACCTTAAATGTAAATGGATGAAAATACTCAATTAAAAGAGACCAGCGAAAAAGAATAAATCTGAATCAATTATATGCCATTTAAAAAGACTGACATACAAATACATAAATAAACTGAAAATGAAATAACAGGAAATGATATTCAATGCAAATAATAAGCAAAAGAGCAGAGATGGTTACACTAATATCAGACAAAATAGACTTTAAATCAAGTTTGTTATGAGATAAAGGACATCATAAGTTAATAAAAGAGCCAATCCGTCAACAAAATATAACAATTACAAACATAATATATCTTACAGAGCATCAAAATATAAAAAACAAAAATTTACATAACAGAAGGAAGATATGGACAGTTCCAAGAAACACTAGTGATTACTACTACTACTACTACTGTAAGTGGTGGTGATGAGGCAGAGAAACTGAAATATAAACAAACATACAGTGTCTATGAACAAAGTTTAATGGTTTCTCAAAAATGTTCATAGTTACCATATAACCTCATAATTATATTCCTAGTATAGTATATACCCTCCAAAATTTAAAAGAAGTATTCAAACAAAAACTTGCATAGAAATGTTAAGAGTGACATTATTCAAAAAGTAGTCAAATAGTTAAAAATTCAAAGGGTCAAGTAACAGAACCCAAATGTCCTGACAAATTGAAAAAATGTGGTATGTGCCCATGAAATGGAATTATTTTTCAGCCATAAGAAGTAATAAAGTAATCATGTTATCACATGAATGAAACTTGAAAACAGTATACTAAGTGAAATAAACTAGATACAAAAAGACTGCAGATTATTTAATCTCATTTAAGTAAAATTATCTAGAATAGGCAAACACAGAGAGATAAAAAGCCAACTGGTAATTGTCAGGGTCTGGGAAGAAGGGGGAGTGAGCGGGCAATTAATGTGTATTGGTTTCCTTTCTGGGTAATCTAAGTGCTTAGAACTGCATTGGCTGTACAACATCAAAAATATACTAAATGACTCTGGATTGAATACTGTAAAATAGTTATACATTTTATGTAAATATTACCATAATTTTTAGAAATCTATGTACTTTTTGTCCCCTCAAATAATTTTTTCTTAGTACATGTTTGTGATAATGAATATACTGATTCTGGTGAGTTGATACCTATACATATGGCATCTTAGTCCTTTTTACTACCTCTTCCCTCTTCTTCCCTCTCACTATCACTAGGTTCCCCTCTTGTCTGCAAAAGGTACATCTCTGTTTTTTTTTTTGTTTTTTGAGACGGGGTCTATGTAGTTGAGACTGACCTAGAACTCACTATGTAGCTCAGTATGGTCTTGAACTCACAGCAATCCTCCCCTTCCCTAGCCTCCCGAGTACTAGGATTAGAGGCATGTGCCACCGCACCAGGCTGTCTCCCTGTTTCTTATTGTCTTTTATTTTGTTCTTTATTTTTATACTTTGAGTTTCTCATATAAGAGAAAGCATGCAATATTTAAGCTTGTATGTCTAATTTATTTTGCTTAGCATTATGGATTCATGGTGCATCTATTTTCCTATACATGACTCAAATTTATTCTTCTACGTGGCTGAATAGTATTCCATTGTGTATATACACCCCATCCTCTTTATCCACTCATATGCTGGTGGGTATGCTGCAATATGATAACTTAAACAAAGACAGAAGAGGTCTTGCTAGGTCAAATGGAATTTGTACTTTTAATTTTTTTGAAGAATCTCTATATTCATTATCCACAGTGGTTGTAGAAAAGGTTCTCTTTCCCCCTAAACCATGACAGCATTTCTGGTTTTTCAGTTTGTGATGATACCCATTCTTTCTGCAGTTAAGACAGAATCTTAGCAATATTTTGATTTGCATTTCTCTAATGGCTTGTTCTAAGTATCAATCCAGAACCAGATGCAGAAAAAATTTGTATTTTAAAAAAAGGCTGCGCACTACATACCTGTTAAGGCTGCTGGTTTGGATAGTGTACTATATTGGTTTTGTGTAGATATCACACTTTGCCGTGGACTTAGTGTTGGTGATGTAACAAGTGAAAGCTCTTCAATAATAATACTGCTTTTGGGATGATTCTTGGGAAGTTCATTTAATCTTTGCTCTAATGAATACTTTAGAAGATCCAACTTTTGACTTGATTCATTAAATCTTGCTTGAGCCTTTCAAGGGAAAAGATAATTATTGTCATTTAGATAATCACATTGTTTACATAATATATTTAATAAACAAACTAAAATATTTAAAATTACTTCTGAAAGTGCTTTTCTGTCTGTTACTTTTCCTGAGCCAAGTAATTTCATTACATTCTTTGCACCTTCTGCTACTGCAAACTCTATCCTAAAATGATGCCTTAATTCTTCCATTCGAAGTTCAAGAGGGCTTATCACAGGTTTTGCTAGAGAGGGGAAAAAAAGAGCGAACATTAATTGAAGCATTTATTTGACTTTCTAACACATAGTGATTGAAAACTATGAAAAGAAATTAATTCCTATGACATCAAAAGTTGGTTCTTGGGCTGGGGATTTAGCTCAGTGGTTCTGCTGCCTGCCTTGCAAGCACAAGGACCCGAGTTTAATCCCTGGTACCAAAAAATAAAAAAATAAATAAATACATACATACATACATACATACACACACAAATAAATAAAAGTTGGTTCTTGGGTCAGGGATGTAGCTGAACAGCACAGCACCTGTCTGGCAAGTGCAAGGCCCTGAATTCGATTCCCAGTATTAATCAATCAATCAAAAAAGGAGGTCCTTAAATCAATAAATACTAAAGTAAAAATAGACACAGGTTGAGATGTAAGGCCTTCCATTTTAGCCATTATATATGTAAATTATAAATCTACAAAACAGAATTTCGAACTGCTATGAGACCAAAACACAGTTGGTTCTCTATATCTGTGAGTTCCAAGATGATCTGACTAACCGAAATTCAATTTTTTTTTTGTTACTGGGGATCGAATTCCAATCCTTGGCCCTAAACAGACTTTTGTTTTGTTTTTTTCTTTTGGTACTGGGGACTGAATTTGGGACCTTATGCTTGCAAAGCAGGTGGCAGAACCACTGAGCTAAATCCCTGGCCCTCCAAATTCAATAATATTTGGGGAAAAATTGGACCTCTGTGATAAACCTTTTTCTCTTGTCAATATTCCTCAAACAATACAGTGCAACAACTATCTGCAAAGTGTTTCCATTGTATTAGGTATGACAGGTAATCTAGAGGTATTAAAGCGTGAGGATGTGCATATATTATAGAGAAATACCACGCCATTTTATATTTTTATATAAAAGACTTGAGTATCCATTAGTGTCTTGGAATAATCTCCCAAAGATACCCAGGAACAAGAATAGTTTCTGCTTCTACTTTTGTCAACTAGCTGTAGATTCCCTCTAGAATTAACCCCTGCTTAAAAAAACAAAACAAAACAAAAAAAAAACCAGAAAGACAAAACAATACTTTTAAACAGGCAACACATTTTTAAAAGACAATTAGAAGTTTATATAAATGAATATATAGCCAGGTGTAGTGGCTCACATGTATAATCTAATTTGGGGGCTGAGGCAAGAGCTCTTATGGGTAGTTTAGCAAGACTCTTTCTAAAATAAAAAAATTTAAAAAGGGCTGGGAATATAGCTCAGCAGCAGACCACCTGCCTAATATGGGTGAGGCCCTGGCTTCAACCCCCCGCCCCAATTCGTAAAATAAAGAAACACACTTTTTTTTTTTCCTTTTTTGTGTTTCTGGGAATTAAACCCAGGGCCTCTTCACTGATCTACATTGTCAGCTCCTTCTAGTTTTTATATTCTGAAACAGTCTCACAGAGTTAGTTGCTAAGTTGCCCAGGGTGGGCTTGAACTTGTGATCTTCTGCCTCAGCCTCACACTACCACACTAGCATAGGAAATAGACTCCTTTTTTTTTGGTACCACAGATGCAACTCAGGACCTTGCACTTGCAAGGCAGACACAGTGCCACTGAGCTAAATCCCTGTGCCTGGAAATATATTCTTGATCAGTATCTTCCTGAAATATTAGGGCCAAAATCTGAAAGCATAACTCTCAAGATAAAAGAAAATAATAATACTTTCTCTCTCTTAATTTGAAGCACTCTATCCTACACGAGAATGAGTTAGCACTCTGTGCCCATAAAATATTGTCAGTTTATGTCTATTCCATCACCATTATCAAAAGCCAATTCATTGGTCTGGACTGCCTGAAGAATCTGCATTCGTATGACTTCTATTTTTGTCTTGCTGTCCTGGAGCAGCTGCTGAGCAGTACCATGGAGTTTCCGATCCTATTAAAAAAAAAGTTTGAAAAGTAAGCAAAAAAAGGGACAAATAAAACATTTTCATATCTTCTAAAAAGATCAACTGATGTATCAGCAAATGGAAAATGGCATTAAAAGAATTGTAATATGTAATTTTCAGATATACTTACCAAAAAACAATAACAACAACAAAACCATCAAATTTAAGAGGAAGAAAACTGAGAAAAACAACTTCATTAGGTAAGATTATCTGAGAGAAAAAAACCCAAGTCTTTGGCCATACCACTCTGAATGCATCTGATCTTATCTGATCTCAGAATAAGTAAACCTTATCTTAATACTGAATTTACTGAGACATCATGAGATTAATACAAGTTACCTTTGGCTTCTATAGTTCCAAGAGGTTCTCAAAATGTTGGCCATTAGCACCCAGGTATTTATTAGTATGGCAAACTGAAGTATATGTACATTTTTTTAGTGGTCTGTTTCTCTCCAATATATATATATTTATTACAAATTTATCTATCATCTTCCATAGTACCCTCTTTATGCATGTGTGTATTAAGGGTACTTGAAATACACTTTTAACAAATCTTCAGTACACAATATTATAGTCCTCATACTACGTGTTATATCTCCAGACTTAATCATCCTGTAACTTGCTCATCCCCATTTCTTTTCCTTCTTACCCCTGGTAACTACCATTCTAGACTTTCTATTTATTTAACTTTTAATATTCCACATATAAGTGCACTCATATAGTATTTTTATTTCTTTGTCTGGTTTATTTCATTTCATATATGTATATGTGTATTACACAATTTATTCATCTGTTGATACCAAAGGTTGCTTGAATCTTATTACTATTTAAAAACAAACCACATCCACAGCCGGGCGTGGTGGCACATGGCTATAATCCCAGCACTCGGGAGGCTGAGGCAGGAGGATCACTGTGAGTTTCAGACCAGCCTGGGCTAGCTACATAGTGAGTTCCAGGTCAGTCTCAACTACATAGTGAAACCCTGTCTCAAAAAAAAAATTTGGCCGGGCATGGTGGCGAATCCCAGCACTCAGGAGGCTGAGGCAGGAGGATCGCTATGAGTTCGAGACCAGCCTGGACTACATAGTGAGTTCCAGGTCAGTCTCAACTACATAGTGAGACCCTGTCTCAAAAAGCCATATACAAACTTACATTTCTAATTTTCTCTTGCCTTTGCTTTATAAAAGTAAAATACAATGAATTTTCCTTTATTCTGATAACTCTCCAACTCAGAAGAAACCTCATTATGAAGGCAAATTTATAAAATAGTTAATCACAGACAGTATAGTATTTGTGTTCATTTAAATTTTGCTTAAAAAAGAAAAATATAAAACAGTATGTTAACAATATAACCCTCACCCTCACCCCCACCCCACAATCGAACTTGAGACTTGGTGTTTGCAACGTAGGTGGCGGCTCCACTGAGTCAAATCCCTTGCCCAGATGATAACAAATTTTTGAATATCAAAAATAAGCAACCTCAATAAAGCTGAAGAGAAAGTTAAACTTCTGTCATCTCTTAACATTTCAACATAGCCAGCACTTAGGCAGGAGGCAGGAGGATTGTCTGGGGCACACAGTGAGTTCAAAGACAGACTGAATTACACAGAGACCTTTTCTCAACAAAACCAAGATTTCAACAAAGGTTGCAAATTAAGTGAAACAATGTTGTATCCACACCTTTATTTAGTTCCTTAACACTGAATGTAGATGACAGGAACTGCAGTAGGCTAAATAATAGCTCACTCTTTAAAGATGTCTATCTTCTAATCCCAGAACCCTGTTAATGTTACCTTACATGACAAAGAGGATTTAAAGTAGCAAAGGGAAATAAGATTGTTAATCTCCTGACCTCAAAATATAGATTATCCTGGGTTATAGATGTATACTCAATGTAATCAAAGGGTCCTCAAATGTATAAGACAGAGGCAGAAGTGATACTATAAGAGAAAACTGGACTCACTCACTATTGACTGGCCTGGAAGACAGAAAAGGATCATGAGCCAGCAAAGGCAGACGGCCTCCAAAAGTTAGAAAAGGCAAGGAAATATCATCCTTGGAATCCTTCAGTAGGGCACACTGACCTGCTAATACCCTGATTTTAGCTCAGTGAGATCTATTTCAGACAAAATAATTGCAAAAACTAACAATAAATCTGCATTTTTTTCATTAGTACTGTTTTGTTATTTAATGTTTACATTCTTTATGTGGAATTGTACATGTACATAACACATCTTAATTCCTTTTTCATTCCCTTTCCCATCCCTCCCTCCATTTCTTGATCTCCTTCGATGTGAGAAAGATCTTCCTACTTCCTGTTATCTTTTATTTAGCTCTTTATTTATATTTTGGGTTTCTCATAAGAGAAACGATGTGATATTTAAGGCTGTGTGTCTCATTTATTTCACTTACCACTGGAGTCTCAAGGTGCATTCATTTTTCTACAAATGACTCAAATTTATCTTTATTGTGTTGTCTTAAATCACTAAATTTGTGAAGAAATAAAAGACAAAACTGAGCATTAAAGTTAAGAAGTAATTATGCACAAGGAAGGTCAATCCTTACATATTATTTAAGCATCTTGACTTTTATCAATAAAGTAATTTTTTAAAAGTCAGAATTTATTGAAAACTTATTAACTGCCAGATACTACTCCTGTTGGGTATATATGTATACACATATATACATATTTTTCCCTCAACTTGGAAATAAAATAGCATATAATCAACCTCTATACTGCAGGCGACTGAAAACCAAAACTTGAGATAAGAAATATTTGGGCAGGATAATTTTAAAAAATCAAACACACACATATACTATATGATACTCATTAAAAGTGGATGGAGATATGTGTGGTAAAGTGGTAATTTTACTTTTATGTAACTGGAAGAAAAGTGAGCTGTGACATAATTGGTGAAATACCAAACTCATATTAACATACCATGGAGAAAAAAATAATTTGCAAATTTACAAAGTTTAACTTCCATTTCTTTCTTAATCACTAGTCAGTCATTTAAGGAGACTGTAAGAAAAAAAGTAAAAATAGGAAAAAACTGAAACAAAGCTTTTGTACATAGGGAGGGAAAGGGGCTTGGGGGGAATGGGATAAAATAAAATTTATTTTAAAAAACCCAAATAAATAAATAAATAAATAAATAAATAAAATTGGTTCAGAAAGAAAGAAAGACAGAAGCTTGTAGCCAGATTTTCTTCTTCTTCTTCTTCTTCTTTTTTTTTGGTACCAGGGATTGAACTCAGGACTTTGCACTTGCGAGGCAGGCAGCAGAACCACTGAGCTAAATCACTGGCTCCAGATTTTACTCTTTAATAAAATATTTAGATTTCATACCAAGAACAGGCTCAAAGAGTTCACTGAAGTTTTTGGACACCAATTTATACTATCAAGTAGCCACAAACACTTTTCTACTTATGCTTTACTAATAAGGACACTAGCTTGAACTTGGTGTTTGCATAAGACATATTACAAACGCTTTTATGAATATTCCCCTTCCAGATGAGAAGGGCACATAAAAAGAATGAGGATGTGTTATGTATATGTACCAATTCCCCATGGGAATGTTATTATAATGAATTGCAAATATGTACTAATAAAAATAAAAAATAAAGATAAATATTCCCCCTCCAAACTTAAAATCTTATTTTATTTCAGTAAAGTTCTAATGTAAAAATATAAATCTTAAGAAAACATATAAATAATACTATTATTTACAATTAAGCTACAACTTTAGTTTATTGCTATATGAAATGACAGCAGTTTTGACATTTACTTCTTTGGAAATACTACTTTTATTAACTATTTCCATTCAAAATGTACACAAATGTCAAAGTATGATGGAAGCTTTTAAAACTCACTTGGGATTTTATCTGTCACAGGTAATGTACAGTGACTACAGATCAATTTTACGCTATCATTTAATGAATTTTTATTGCCAGTTCTATGCTTTCAGATATTCAATGAATTTCTTTATTGAGCACCTAATACGTAGAAGGCAAGAGATAAGGTGGACTCAAAATATACAAAATGGTTTACATATTTAAGAATTACTGACTTTTATGTTGATGAAGAATTTGAGATTTTTTGTATGTTTTGATGAACCACATAGAAATGTCAATACTTAACTGACTTTGAATTACAAAACAGCAATTTCATATGGTTCAACCTTGTATCACTCTGTAGTGCCTGATAATTATACATGGATGTATAATATTTTATCAGCAAAAACTACAGATTTTATGATTTTTTTTTTTCTTTTTGTTACTGGGGATTGAACTCAGGACCTTGTGCTTACAGGGCAGGCATTGTGCCATTGAGCTAAATCCCTGGCCCATTTTTGCTATTTTTAAGTTATTAACTATCAATCTGCAGTGGGATAATAGGACTACATCTCACACACAACTTTCTTTGGCTTTTTTTTGAGACAGGGTCTCACTATGTAGTTGAGACTGACCTGGAACTCACTATGTAGTCCAGGCTGGTCTCGGACTCACAGTGATCCTCCTGCTTCAGCCTCCCGAGTGCTGGGATTACAGGCCTGCGCCACCACGCCTGGCTCACACACAACTTTCAAATAAAGGAGCCAACTATTAATTTCATTTTTCCATCCCAAATTTATGGCTTACTTTCTATATGTTAAACATTGTCAGTTTCGGTGAAAATATAAAAAGTAGCCAGGATGCTACTTTGCTGATGGTTATAGTCTTATAGATGAGACATAGATAATTATATATGTATCAGAAAGGTAAAAGTAGCTGAAGAAAATTCAAAGGAAAGTGAGATTAGCTTTAATTGGTAGAATTCAGAAAATTTTTCTTGTTGTTAATGTAGATAAGCCTGAAATATGCCCAGATTAGAAGATTTCTCATGTTGTGTTCTACACACACCACCCCAAATCAAACAGTAGCAACAACAACAACAACAACAAAACACAGAAAAACAAGGAAAATTTTAAAAGTATCTTGAATGTGGTGGTGGTATGTGTGTGTGTCCAATTTTTACGTACATACATTAGATTGCAATAAAACTTAAGAATGATGGGGAGATGGGGGGTCAAGGAACACAGATGGATAGGCATATCTGACAGAGAAAAAAGTATAAGAAGTCTTGGCATAAAATCCTACATTTAAATAAATAGCTTGGTTTATTATTTGAACATATGAACAGAAGAGATCTCTTCAACATGCATTATCAAATCCTCAGAGATAACTGAAAAATCAGCACTGCCAAGAGGCACAAATGTCCAGTGAAGAAACATTAAGATATACTACTCCTTAGGAAACAGGTAGGGTAAGATTGTTGTATCTCATTCCTCAGATCTTTGTATTAATAATCAAAACATCTTAATATAAAAGGAAGAAAATGAAAATAATTATAGCACATAGAAATATGAAGCAAAAGAACAATGCATAAAATTCATGCCAACAGAAGTGGTAAAAATGGTATAGCAGTATTTTAGTACTATTTGTACTGAAATACCCCAATGTATTGGATATTGTTCTAATTTTTTTTTTTTTTTTTTTTTTTTTTTTTTTTTTTTTTTTTTTTTTTTTGGTACCAGGGATTGAACTCAAGACCTTGTGCTTGTGAGGCAGGCGTGGTGCCACTGAGCTAAATCCCCAGCCTGATATTGTTCTAATTATTGAAGATACATAGTTATAACCAAGCAATGTCACTCATTGAGAATAGGTGTGATGGCAGAAACCTGCATCCCAGCAGTTTTGGAGGTTAAGGCAGGTGAAATCAATGGTTTGCATGAGAGCTACATTCTTTTGTTGTTGTTGTTGTTGTTTTGGTACCAGGGATCAAAATCAGGTCCTTGTGCTTGCAAGGCAGGTGGAACCACTGAGCTAAATCCCTGGCCCCGTGAGATCTACATTCTAATGCTAAAAACAGATGCTAAAGAAACTGATCATGTAATGTAGTACAGAGGCAAGAGAAGGATTACTTAGAATACTAATGAAGAGTTAGCTGAGGTGGTAAGCTTCTGAACAGAGACATTAAAGAAATGAGAGAAAGTCACAAAAATATTTAGAAGAAATATTTTGACCAAATAGCAAGTATACAGGTCTGAGGTCAGAGTGCTCCTTATATTTAAAGAACAGTAAAACAGCCACTGTAGCTACAGTGTAATGACAGACCAGTGTTTTTAGAAGATGAGATTAGAAGACAGCCAGGGATAAATCATGTTTGGGCAACTGTGATGCAAAGTCATTGGGGAAGTATATTAGTTTTCAGCTGTTGGGACAAAATACCTGACATACATAACTTCAGGAATAAAAGCTTTCTTTTGGCTCACAATCTTAGAGGATTCCCTTCATGATCAGTTGGGTCCAAGGAAGAAACATCATGGTAAAGGGCCATGGCAAAGGACAGCAGCTCACTAGAGTGTAGCCAGAAGCACAGAGAAAGCAGGAAGAGCCCAAGAGGAAGAGGCCAGGGACCAGATTATCATCCACAAAGGGTCATGCCCTCATGACCTACCCAGAAATATGGGAAAGTGTGCTTTATTAATTTCCTAGGCATTTCTCAAGCCAATCAAGTTGAAAATCAAAATTAACCATCAAAGTGTTCTGAACAGAAGGCTGGAAATAATATGGCAAATTTTAAAAGGACAGCTCTGTCTGTATTGTGTACAGGTCTGATAATTTTATCACATAGACTTTATTAACAAGAGTTGTGAAAGAAAATTAGTGCCAAACTGACTTTCATCACCCTTGCACCTAAATTTTCTCCTCTTTGTGAATTCCCTGTCATTGTAAAGAGTATCATCATTCAGCAATCTATCCACATAATCAATCTAAGAATCATTTCTTACTCTGTGATCTTCCTAATATCCCAATGCCAACAGCTTCACTCTGTCATTTTCACTGCTGTTACAAGACAGATGAAACTGTTTACCTTGGATTGCTAAAAGAGCTTACTTAAATTTGCTGCTTGCAGACTGAGGATGGATGTGAACTTTCTAACTTTAAATTTGTTTATTTTCCTTGCTAAAAGTCTTTCATCAGCTCCATGTGTGTGTGTGTGTGTGTGTGTATGTATATATATATGTGTGTGTGTATGTATGTATATATATATATGTGTGTGTGTGTGTGTGTGTATACAC